TGATATCGATTTATTCCGAAAAATTAAAAAAAGATTGAGGCCCGGGGGTCCTAATCTTAAATTGGATATCATTTTCATAAAAAGCGCCTCCCAAAACCTATAAGACGACCATGATATCGATTTAATCTGAAAAGTTAAAAAAGTCGAGGTCCGGGGGCCCAATCTCAAATTGGATATCATTTTCATAAAAAGCGCCCCCAAAACCTATAAGACGACCCTGATATCGATTTAATCTGAAAAGTTTAAAAAAGTCGAGGACCGGAGGGCCCAATCTCAAATTCGATATCATTTTCATAAAAAGCGCCCCCAAAACCTATAAGACGACCTGATATCGATTTAATCTGAAAAGTTTAAAAAAGTAAAGGCCCGGGGGCCCAATCCCAAATTCGATATCATTTTCATAAAAACGCCTCCCAAAACCTATAAGTCTATCATAATATCGTTTTAATCTAAAAAGGTTAAAAAAGTCGAGGCCCGGGGGGCCCGATCCCAAATTCGATATCATTTTCATAAAAAGCGCCCCCAAAACCTATAAGACGACCCTGATATCGATTTAATCTGAAAAGTTTAAAAAAGTCGAGGCCGGGGGGCCCAATCCAAATTCGATATCATTTTCATAAAAACGCCTCCCAAAACCTATAAGACGACCCTGATATCGATTTAATCTGAAAAGTTTAAAAAAGTCGAGGCCCGGGGGGTCCGATTCCAAATTCGATATCATTTTCATAAAAAGCGCCCTCCCAAAACCTATAAGACGACCCTGATATCGATTTAATCTGAAAAGTTTAAAAAAGTCGGGGACCGGAGGGTCCAATCCCAAATTCGATATCATTTTCATATAAAAAGCCCCCCAAAACCTATAAGACGACCCTGATATCGATTTAATCTGAAAAGTTTAAAAAAGTCGGGGCTCGGTAGGGCCCAATCTCAAATTAGATATCATCTTTATAAAAAGCGCCCCCAAAACCTATAAGACGACCCTGATATCGATTTAATCTGAAAAGTTTAAAAAAGTCGGGGACCGGAGGGCCAATCCCAAATTCGATATCATTTTCATAAAAAGCCCCCCAAAACCTATAAGACGACCCTAATATCGATTTAATCTGAAAAGTTTAAAAAAGTCGGGGCTCGGTAGGGCCCAATCTCAAATTAGATATCATCTTTATAAAAAGCGCCCCCCAAAACCTATAATACGACCCTGATATCGATTTTATCAGAAAAGTTTAGGTTGTGGGGGGGCGCTTTTTATGAAAATGATATCGATTGGGATAGCCCCGGCCAAATTTTAAATTTTCGATTAATCGAAAGGTCTTAGGTTTGGGGGGCTTTTATGAAAATGATACAATTGGATGGCCCACCGGGCCTCGACTTCTTTTAAACTATTGGGATTAAATCAATATCAGGGTCGTCTTATAGGTTTTGGGGGGCGCTTTTTATGAAGATGATATCCAATTTGAGATTGGGCCCCACCGGGCCTCGACTTCTTTTAACTATTGGGATTAAATCGATATCAGGGTCGACTTATAGGTTTTGGGGGCGCTTTTTATGAAAATGGTAGCCAATTTGAGATTGGGCCCCCAAGGCCTCGACTTTTTTTAACTGTTTGGATTAAATCGATATCAGGGTAGACTCTTATGTATTGAGGGACGCTTTTTATGAAAATTATATCCAATTTGAGATTGAGCCTTTGGGGGCTTCCCCCAAAACATAAGAGTCGACCCTGATATCGATTTATTCCGAAAAATTAAAAAAAGATTGAGGACCAGGGGTCCCAATCTTAAATCGGATGTCATTTTCATAAAAAGCGCCCCCTAAAATATAAGAGTTCACCCTGATATCGATTTAATCCGAAAAGTTAAAAAAAAATGAGGCCTATAAATGTATAAATCAGAACATCACTTCAACTCTGCATAAAAATAGGAAACTGAGGTATTCAAATAAAATCCAAGAAAAGATAAGAAAACAAAAATGAAATTCATAAATATTAGGGAGGAATACGTTTGAATAAGTAATATTTAATATGTAGTTATAGTATGTTTAAAAATAAACTATATTATTTAGATCCCCGCTTTAAATTCTAGTGATGAATTCGTAGAAACTTACCCTGCACTAACAAGTAGATTTTCGCCCATCAATTTTTCGATATGGATACCTCGGCTTGTACCTTGGCTTGTGCTTAGTGACTCACTATTTTCAGTTCTGAAAGGTACAAAATGGTTTTTAGTATTTAACATCAAGACCCATTTTTTTAAAAGTAATATATGCTATGAGAATTGTGATTGTTACTATCGATTAAACCTAATCCAACTTTCCCCGCTTCCAAAAACCTTAAGGAAGCCCCAAGTACTTATAAACGTTAGTGCCTCCGTAATAATTTCAATAGAAAATAGACAAAACAATAAAATATCGGCAATGTGGAAAAATATATCACCAAAGTGTCTGCAAAATATTGGGACTACAAGATGGGGCACCCAGGGCCTCAACTTTTTTTAATTTTTCGTATTAAATCGATATCAAGGTCGACTCTTATGTTTTGGGGGGCGCTTTTTATGAAAATGATATCGAATTTGGGATTGGGCCCCCGGGCCTAGCCTTTTTTTAACTTTTCAGATCAAATCGATATCAGGGTCGTCTTATAGGTTTTGGGAGGCGCTTTTTATGAAAATGATATCGAATTTGTTATCGGACCCCCCGGACTTCGACTTTTTTAAACTTTTCAGATTAAATCGATATCAGGGTCGTCTTATAGGTTTTGGGGGGAGCTTTTTATGAAAATGGTAGCCAATTTGAGATTGGGCCCCAAGGCCTCGACTTTTTTTTAACTTTTTGGATTAAATCGATATCAGGGTCAACTCTTATGTTTTCAGGGACGCTTTTTTATGAAAATGATATCCAATTTGAGATTGAGCCTTTGGGGGCTTCCCCCAAAAGATAAGAGTCGACCCTGATATCGATTTATTCCGAAAAATTAAAAAAAGATTGAGGCCCGGGGGTCCAATCTTAAATTGGATATCATTTTCATAAAAAGCGCCTCCCAAAACCTATAAGACGACAGTGATATCGATTTAATCTGAAAAGTTAAAAAAAGTCGAGGCCCGGGGTCCAATCTCAAATTCGATATCATTCTCATAAAAAGCGCCTCCCAAAACCTATAAGACGACCCTCATATCGATTTAATCCGAAAAGTTAAAAAAGTCGAGGTCCGGGGGGCCCAATCTCAAATTGGATATCATTTTCATAAAAAGCGCCCCCAAAACCTATAAGACGACCCTGATATCGATTTAATCTGAAAAGTTTAAAAAAGTCGAGGACCGGAGGGCCCAATCCAAATTCGATATCATTTTCATAAAAAGCGCCCCCAAAACCTATAAGACGACCTAATATCGATTTAATCTGAAAAGTTTAAAAAAGTCGAGGCCGGGGGCCCAATCCCAAATTCGATATCATTTTCATAAAAAGCGACTCCCAAAACCTATAAGACGACCATGATATCGATTTAATCTGAAAAGTTTAAAAAAGTCGAGGCCGGGGGGCCCAATCCCAAATTCGATATCATTTTCATAAAAAGCGCCCCCCAAAACCTATAAGACGACGTTAATATCGATTTAATCTGAAAAGTTTAAAAAAGTAAAGGCCGGAGGGCCCAATCCCAAATACGATATCATTTTCATAAAAACGACTCCCAAAACCTATAAGTCGACCATGATATCGATTTAATCTGAAAAGGTTAAAAAAGGCGAGGCCGGGGGGTCCGATCCCAAATTCGATATCATTTTCATAAAAAGCGTCCCTCCAAAACCTATAAGACGACCCTGATATCGATTTTATCTGAAAAGTTTAAAAAAGTCGGGGACCGGAGGGCCCAATCCCAAATTCGATATCATTTTCATAAAAAGCGCCCCCCAAAACCTATAAGACGACGCTAATATCGATTTAATCTGAAAAGTTTAAAAAAGTCGGGGCTCGGTAGGGCCCAATCTCAAATTAGATATCATCTTTATAAAAAGCGCCCCCCAAAACCTATAAGACGACCCTAATATCGATTTAATCTGAAAAGTTTAAAAAAGTTGAGGACCGGGGGGCCAATCCCAAATTCGATATTACTTTCATAAAAAGCGCCCCCCAAAACCTATAATACGACCCTGATATCGATTTTATCAGAAAAGTTTAGGTTGTGGGGGGGCGCTTTTTATGATAAATGGGATAGCCAAAATTGATGATACGCCAAGTTTGGGGTAGAGATGATTGGGATCGACCCACCGGGCCTCGAATTCTTTTAAACTATTGGGATTAAATCAATATCAGGGTCGTCTTATAGGTTTTGGGGGGCGCTTTTTATGAAGATGATATCCAATTTGAGATTGGGCCCCACCGGGCCTCGACTTCTTTTAACTATTGGGATTAAATCGATATCAGGGCCGACTTATAGGTTTTGGGGGCGCTTTTTATGAAAATGGTAGCCAATTTGAGATTGGGCCCCCAAGGCCTCGACTTTTTTTAACTGTTTGGATTAAATCGATATCAGGGTAGACTCTTATGTATTGAGGGACGCTTTTTATGAAAATTATATCCAATTTGAGATTGAGCCTTTGGGGGCTTCCCCCAAAACATAAGAGTCGACCCTGATATCGATTTATTCCGAAAAATTAAAAAAAGATTGAGGACCAGGGGTCCCAATCTTAAATCGGATGTCATTTTCATAAAAAGCGCCCCCTAAAATATAAGAGTTTACCCTGATATCGATTTAATCCGAAAAGTTAAAAAAAAATGAGGCCTATAAATGTATAAATCAGAACATCACTTCAACTCTGCATAAAAATAGGAAACTGAGGTATTCAAATAAAATCCAAGAAAAGATAAGAAAACAAAAATGAAATTCATAAATATTAGGGAGGAATACGTTTGAATAAGTAATATTTAATATGTAGTTATAGTATGTTTAAAATAAACTATATTATTTAGATCCCCGCTTTAAATTCTAGTGATGAATTCGTAGAAACTTACCCTGCACTAACAAGTAGATTTTCGTCCATCAATTTTTCGATATGGATACCTCGGCTTGTACCTTGGCTTGTGCTTAGTGACTCACTATTTTCAGTTCTGAAAGGTACAAAATGGTTTTTAGTATTTAACATCAAGACCCATTTTTTTAAAAGTAATATATGCTATGAGAATTGTGATTGTTACTATCGATTAAACCTAATCCAACCTTCCCCGCTTCCAAAAACGTTAAGGAAGCCCCAAGTACTTATAAACGTTAGTGCCTCCGTAATAATTTCAATAGAAAATAGACAAAACAATAAAATATCGGCAATGTGGAAAAATATATCACCAAAGTGTCTGCAAAATATTGGGACTACAAGATGGGGCACCCAGGGCCTCAACTTTTTTTAATTTTTCGTATTAAATCGATATCAAGGTCGACTCTTATGTTTTGGGGGGCGCTTTTTATGAAAATGATATCGAATTTGGGATTGGGCCCCCCGGGCCTAGCCTTTTTTTAACTTTTCAGATCAAATCGATACCAGGGTCGTCTTATAGGTTTTGGGAGGCGCTTTTTATGAAAATGATATCGAATTTGGTATCGGACCCCCCGGGCCTCGACTTTTTTAAACTTTTCAGATTAAATCGATATCAGGGTCGTCTTATAGGTTTTGGGGGGAGCTTTTTATGAAAATGGTAGCCAATTTGAGATTGGGCCCCAAGGCCTCGACTTTTTTTTAACTTTTTGGATTAAATCGATATCAAGGTCGACTCTTATGTTTTCAGGGACGCTTTTTATGAAAATGATATCCAATTTGAGATTGAGCCTTTGGGGGCTTCCCCCAAAAGATAAGAGTCGACCCTGATATCGATTTATTCCGAAAAATTAAAAAAAGATTGAGGCCCGGGGGTCCCAATCTTAAATTGGATATCATTTTCATAAAAAGCGCCCCCCAAAACCTATAAGTCGACCCTGATATCGATTTAATCCCAAAAGTTAAAAGAAGTTGAGGCCCGGTGGGGCCTAATCTCAAATTGGATATCATCTTTGTTAAATTTGATGAGATTATCAAGCAGGAACAGAGTTGGAATATTGGGAACAGTATTAAGGAGGTGATTGGAGCATGTTAAGATTGCCTTCGTCTTTTCCACATTCAACTTAGCTCTCGCCCAGTCACAAATTCTATCCAAGTCTTCTTAAAGTTTTTCTGTCGCAGATAATAGGTCGAAAGGCGGGAAGGACAGGTATATTTGGGATTCATCTGCATTGATATAGTATTGGGAGTGAAAGATCATGAAGGGAAGGTCCAGTACATATATATATACATATACTGTAGGTTTTGGGCGGGGTGGCCGACCGGGCTAACGTGCGTGCACAGCATAAAAGAGCAAAAATGATAATTAATAAATATTTGGGAGGAATACGTTTGAATATGTAATATTTAGTATGTAGTTATAGTATATTTAAAATAAGCTATATTATTTAGATCCGCACTTTAAAGTCTAGTGATGAATTTGTAGAAACTTACCGTACTCTATCGAACCGGTTTTCGTCCATAAATTGATGAATTGGGACGCCTTGGTTTGTGCCTCCGCTTGTACATGGTATTGCCAGGTTTTCACTTCTGAAAGGTACAAAATAGTTTTTAGTATTTAACATCAAGACCCTTTTTTTAAAAAGTAATATATGCTGTGAGAATTGTGATTGTTACTATCGATTAAAACTAATCCAACTTTCCCTGCTTCCAAAACCCTTAAGAAGCCCCAAGTATTTATAAAAGTTAGTGCCTCCATAATAATTTTAATAGAAAATAGACAAAACAATAAAATATTGGCAATGTAGACAAATTTGTCACCACGGTATCTGAAAAACATTGGGACTACAAGGAAATGGTGAAGGTAGGTACCCTAACGCTTTATTATATTTAGTAAAAAAAAAATAGAATAAGGTTCGGAAATACTGCAAATATTGCAACAAATATATTTTAACTATAAAAGTCGTTTTATTAAGAAAAGAATTGTATTTAATATTATATAATTTTTGGCTATTTTCATGTACTCCATGTTAAAAACAACAGTGTAATAAAAAAAGTATGTATTCTATAAAGGATCTATTTAACAAAAAATAACTAACTATTTATAAATTACAAATCATACGATAATTAAAAATCTGTCGATCTAGAAATATTTTATCCATTGTATACCCATGAATCCGCCAAAACTCCTATCCTCTTACTGTCCTATCTCTCTTTTACCCATTATGGGCAGAATCCTAGAAAAACTCATTTGAAAACGCCTGTATCCCATCCAAGGCTATAAACACATTATCCCAGATCACCAATTTGGATTCCGCACATCCCAATCCACTATTCAGCAATGCCATCGTGTGGTAGATGTACTCTCCTCCGTATTGGAGCGCGGAAGGTACGGCACGGGAGTCTTTCTCGACGTTGAACAGGCGTTCGATAGAGTCCGGCATCCGGGACTGATGTACAAACTCCGAAAATTACTACCACCTACATACTTCCTCATTATCCGTTCCTGCCTTACTGACAGATTCTTCAAAGTATGAGGATCGGATAATAATGGATTTGTCAAAAGCAGCGGTTCGGTGGGCCCTTATAGTCTGTGGGCCAGACTCCACTACCGTGCACCCCATCCCACATCCCTATAAATTCCATATCCTTATGTTCCTTGTAACTATTTATTAAAAAAAAAGCCAATGTTCCTACAAAAAAAAGTTAACGAACTGTCCCAAAACGGCGTCCAAAGATGGCGGATTGACGACTTTGACTTTAGTTAGTTTTTTTGTTACTGAGAATCAGCGGAACTACTTCAAATATTTTAAAAAGTAATCAGTGTTTTAGAAACAGAAATGAATACTCCAGATGTTTTATTCCAGCACGTTGAGCGTTATTGTTGGCCGTTTAAATACAAACGACGCTTCATTTCAACTTGAAAAGTTTTTTGTTAAAAAAATTGATTTTACTGATGTTTTTTATTGCATAAGCCAATTAGTTTTTAATATTTTCTATGTTTTGTTATTCTCTGACTATCCAGCTTTAATAAAAGACCAATTATGACGAAATTAACCCAAATGCTGATTCTCAGTAACAAAAAAACTAACTAAAGTCAAAGTTGTCAATCCGCTATATTTGGACGTCATTGCGGGGCAGTTGGTTCATTTTCTTCTGTGGGAACATTGATTTTTTTTAAATAAATAAATACAAGGAACACAACGATATATAATTTATAGGGATGTGGGAAGTGGGGGGGGGTGCGCGGTAGGGGGTCTGGCCCACCGTGTATTATGTATAAATCAGAAGACCGGGAACAACTATTGCGGGAACGAACAGAGGATTTGAATTGAAAAAGATGAGAGATGTATGGCGGACGGTGGGATTAGATTACATGAAATAGAAAGGATACCAGGAAATATTTACGACGGTAGGAAGGTTAAGGCACTTCAACTCTGCATAAAAATGGGAAACAAAGGCGTCCCCTGGTATCCATAAGATGAATCGTACAAAGCAATTTATCAAGCGTTTTAGTTTCGCCTCGAGATTCCCAGAAAAACCCCATATACCGAACAGCAATAGTCAAAGTGGGGAAAAATTAAGGAATTTGCTAGAAGCCTAATGGAAATGTAAATAGGTGACGAGAATAATTTAAACGTTTTACAGTAGAGATGATACGGCCTGAAATATTGGATACATGGTTTTTCCAGGAAAGCGTTTGATCGAAGGTTATTCCAAGGTTTTTGATGGTAGGGTTAAATTTGATGGGATTATCATGCAGGAACATAGTTGGAATATTGGGAACAGTATTAAGGAGGTGATTGGAGCATATTAAGATTGCCTTCGTCTTTTCCATATTCAACTTCAACTTGTTAGCTCTCGCCCAGTCACAAATTCTATCCAAGTCTTCTTAAAGTTTTTCTGTCGCAGATAATAGGTCGAAAGGCGGGAAGGACAGGTATATTTGGGATTCATCTGCATTGATATAGTATTGGGAGTGAAAGATCATGAAGGGAAGGTCCAGTACATATATATATATATATACATATACTGTAGGTTTTGGGCGGGGTGGCCGACCGGGCTAACGTGCGTGCACAGCATAAAAGAGCAAAAATGATAATTAATAAATATTTGGGAGGAATACGTTTGAATATGTAATATTTAGTATGTAGTTATAGTATATTTAAAATAAGCTATATTATTTAGATCCGCACTTTAAAGTCTAGTGATGAATTTGTAGAAACTTACCGTACTCTATCGAACCGGTTTTCGTCCATAAATTGATGAATTGGGACGCCTTGGTTTGTGCCTCCGCTTGTACATGGTATTGCCAGGTTTTCACTTCTGAAAGGTACAAAATAGTTTTTAGTATTTAACATCAAGACCCTTTTTTTAAAAAGTAATATATGCTGTGAGAATTGTGATTGTTACTATCGATTAACACTAATCCAACTTTCCCTGCTTCCAAAACCCTTAAGAAGCCCCAAGTATTTATAAAAGTTAGTGCCTCCATAATAATTTTAATAGAAAATAGACAAAACAATAAAATATTGGCAATGTAGACAAATTTGTCACCACGGTATCTGAAAAACATTGGGACTACAAGGAAATGGTGAAGGTAGGTACCCTAACGCTTTATTATATTTAGTAAAAAAAAAAATAGAATAAGGTTCGGAAATACTGCAAATATTGCAACAAATATATTTTAACTATAAAAGTCGTTTTATTAAGAAAAGAATTGTATTTAATATTATATAATTTTTGGCTATTTTCATGTACTCCATGTTAAAAACAACAGTGTAATAAAAAAAGTATGTATTCTATAAAGGATCTATTTAACAAAAAATAACTAACTATTTATAAATTACAAATCATACGATAATTAAAAATCTGTCGATCTAGAAATATTTTATCCATTGTATACCCATGAATCCGCCAAAACTCCTATCCTCTTACTGTCCTATCTCTCCTTTACCCATTATGGGCAGAATCCTAGAAAAACTCATTTGAAAACGCCTGTATCCCATCCTAGGCTATAAACACATTATTCCAGATCACCAATTTGGATTTCGCACATCCCAATCCACTATTCAGCAATGCCATCGTGTGGTAGATGTAGTCTCCTCCGTATTGGAGCGCGGAAGGTACGGCACGGGAGTCTTTCTCGACGTTGAACAGGCGTTCGATAGAGTCCGGCATCCGGGACTGATGTACAAACTCCGAAAATTACTACCACCTACATACTTCCTCATTATCCGTTCCTGCCTTACTGACAGATTCTTCAAAGTATGAGGATCGGATAATAATGGATTTGTCAAAAGCAGCGGTTCGGTGGGCCCTTATAGTCTGTGGGCCAGACTCCACTACCGTGCACCCCATCCCACATCCCTATAAATTCCATATCCTTATGTTCCTTGTAACTATTTATTAAAAAAAAAAGCCAATGTTCCTACAAAAAAAAGTTAACGAACTGTCCCAAAACGGCGTCCAAAGATGGCGGATTGACGACTTTGACTTTAGTTAGTTTTTTTGTTACTGAGAATCAGCGGAACTACTTCAAATATTTTAAAAAGTAATCAGTGTTTTAGAAACAGAAATAAATACTCCAGATGTTTTATTTCAGCACGTTGAGCGTTATTGTAGGCCGTTTAATTACAAATGACGCTTCATTTCAACTTGAAAAGTTTTTTGTTAAAAAAATTGATTTTACTGATGTTTTTTATTGCATAAGCCAATTAGTTTTTAATATTTCCTATGTTTTGTTATTCTCTGACTATCCTGCTTTAATAAAAGACCAATTATGACGAAATTAACCCAAATGCTGATTCTCAGTAACAAAAAAACTAACTAAAGTCAAAGTTGTCAATCCGCTATATTTGGACGTCATTGCGGGGCAGTTCGTTCACTTTTTTTGTGGGAACATTGATTTTTTTTAAATAAATAAATACAAGGAACACAACGATATGTAATTTATAGGGATGTGGGGGGTGGGAGGGGGGGTGCGCGGTAGGGGGTCTGGCTCACCGTGTATTATGTATAAATCAGAAGACCGGGAACAACTATTGCGGGAACGAACAGAGGATTTGAATTGAAGAAGATGAGAGATGTATGGCGGACGGTGGGATTAGATTACATGAAATAGAAAGGATACCAGGAAATATTTAAGACGGTAGAAAGGTTAAGCCACTTCAACTCTGCATAAAAATGGGAAACAAAGGCGTCCCCTGGTATCCATAAGATGAATCGTACAAAGCAATTTATCAAGCGTTTTAGTTTCGCCTCGAGATTCCCAGAAGAACCCCATATACCGAACAGCAATAGTCAAAGTGGGGAAAAATTAAGGAATTTGCTAGAAGCCTAATGGAAATGTAAATAGGTGACGAGAATAATTTAAACGTTTACAGTGGAGATGATACGGCCTGAAATATTGGATACATGGTTTTTCCAGGAAAGCGTTTGATCGAAGGTTATTCCAAGGTTTTTGATGGTAGGGTTAAATTTGATGGGATTATCATGCAGGAACAGAGTTGGAATATTGGGAGCAGTATTAAGGAGGTGATTGGAGCATATTAAGATTGCCTTCGTCTTTTCCACATACAACTTCAACTTGTTAGCGCTCGCCCAGTCGCAAATTCTATCCAAGTCTTCTTGAAATTTTTCTGTCGCAGATAATAGGTCGAAAGGCGGGAAGGACAGGTATATTTGGGATTCATCTGCATTGATATGGTATTGGGAGTGAAAGATCATGAAGGGAAGGTCCAGTACATATATATATATACATATACTGCAGGTTTTGGGCGGGGTGGCCGACCGGGCTAACGTGGGTGCACAGCATAAAAGAGCAAAAATGATAATTAATAAATATTTGGGAGGAATACTTTTAAATATGTTATATTTAGTATGTAGTTATAGTATATTTAAAATAAGCTATATTATTTAGATCCGCATTTTAAAGTCTAGTGATGAATTTGTAGAAACTTACCGTACTCTATCAAGTCGATTTTCGTCCATAAATTGATGAGTTTGAACACCTTGGCTTGTGCTTCTGCTTGTACACGGTGCATCCTGATTGTCAGTTCTGAAAGGTAATAACATTTTTTAAAAAGTAATATATGCTATGAGAATTATGATTGCTACTATTTATTAAAACTAATCCATTTTTCCCTATTTCCAAAAACCTTAAGAAGCCCCAAGTATTTATAAAAGTTAGAGCCTCCATAATAATTTTAATAGAAAGTAGACAAAACAATAAGATATCGGCAATGTAGAAAAATTTATCACCACAGTATCTGCAAAACATTGGTACTACAAGGAAATGATGAAGGTAGGTACCCTAACGCTTTCTTACATTTAGTCAATAAAAATAGAATAAGGTTCGGAAATACTGTAATATTCCAACAAATATATTTCATAAATAAAAGTCCTTTTATCAAGAAAAGAATTCTATTTAATATTTTATAATTTTTTTTTTTTGGCTATTTTCATGTACTCCAAGTTAAAAACAACAGTGTAATAAAAAATAATGTATTCTATAAAGGATTTATTTAACAAAAATTAACTAACTATTTATAAATTACAAATCATACGAAAATTAACAATCAGTTGATCTAGAAATATTTTATCTATTATCTACCTAAATCTATCATTTTATTATATAGTCTCCAAGATAATAAGGTGCTCTTCTGGTTCTAGAAGCTTTCTCAGAATAGGTCCTTTTTTGCTGGTGCTTTACTTTTTTTTATTTATGTAGACATATAATTTATCACGTGGACAATAATTTTGGTGATATATGAACACATTCACACCATACATACTGAAAATTTAAAATTAACAAAAGTAAAATAATAATAATAAAAAACTATGTACAATAAAAAATAAAATAACCTAAAGATACGTAAATTAAAAACATAAAAAACAGAGTCATACTTATATACAATATATACAATCAGGCAGGAAACCCCAAACCAGGGTTCTCCCTCCAACTATAGAAGGAAAAGCAGAATTCCAAGAGATCCTTGCGCGTCACTGATGATAAAACCAGTGAAGTATGAGAGAGAGCGCTTTAGCTGGTGCTCTACTAGATTCAGTAGATGTGCCGCTCTACTTCCTCAATCCGTTCTCCTTCATTTGTAGATGTAATGTTCAATCTCTCTAACTCTTTTAGTTTTAGTTGTTTTGTATACAGGAGGTTAGTTTAATATTTTATTTACTTTTATTCTTATTATTTTTATTAAGGCCAAATGCAATATTTTGTTTTTGAGCTGTTTTTTATTCTGAAGAGACTTTGTCCCAGAATAAAGTTATTTTCTATCTATCCATCTATGTATAGCCAGGAAACTTGCCCAGAAGGGAGGATTATGGCGCCATCGAAATTTTTGAGGGGCATATTTTGAAGGGGCTTTGAATTTTTGAGGGGGGCACATTTTAATGGGGTTATGAATTTTCTGTACAAATTTTTTCAGAATTAGGGGTAAGGAGAAAACATGAAACAGACAGCAGCAGGGATAATTGTGTATGATCTACGATTTTTCCAATTCTACTCCCCCTTATTCTGATTTACGCTATTACGCTATCATTATCCGGAGGTAAACTAGTCCCCTGTTCGGGTCTCCGGGTGGGGACTGCTTTAGGGGATTCATGGCGCAAGTTGAAATATAGGGATTTAAATATTGGTACGTGGAACGTAAGGAGTTTAAACACAGCAGGGGGGCTAAAATCGGTCGCGAATGAGGTAAATGGGTACAATTTGGATGTCGTGGCTCTGCAAGAGGTTCGCTGGCCAGGGGAGGGCTCGATGAGGGAAGGAAAGTACACTATTTGGTACGGAGGAAGCGGGAATCATTGTTTAGGTACCGGGTTTCTAATTAGGAGTAGATTACTATCCGCTTTGAGCGACGTACAATTCTTTAGTGATAGAATTTCGGTAGCTACATTTCAGGGACGTTGGTTTAAAATCGCATTAATAAACATACATTGTCCGACCGAAGACAGTGACGATGAAGTCAAAAGTGAATTTTACGATAAACTCGAATGGGTTTATGATAAACTACCGCGAAACTACATGAAAATAATTGTAGGTGACGCGAACGCAAAGGTAGGAAGGGAAGAAGTTTATATTCCGACGATTGGTAAAGAAAGTTTGCACGAATATAGTAATGATAATGGGATCCGTCTGATAAACTTTGCCATCTCGAAAAACCTGATAATTAAAAGTACGACGTTTAAACACAAGGATATTCATAAATATACTTGGACATCACCGGATTCGCAAACACGAAATCAAATCGATCATGTCTTGATACAACACAGCTGGCAAAGCAGTATAATTAATGTACGGTCTTATCGCGGAGCAGAATGTGGGTCGGATCATGAATTAGTAATCGCGAAACTTCGACAAAAACTTAATATAAAAAAGAGAAAAGAAAACCGTTTCGATTTTGAGAATTTTAATTTGGAAAAATTAAAAAATCCATCAATTAGAAACCAATTCGAGCTAGATGTTAAGAATAGGTTTGAAGCTTTAGAGCTTCCTGACGAGGACCACGAGGATATTGACAAGTTATGGATAGAGATCAGAGATAATATTAAAGCGGTCGGTAACTCGTGCCTAGGAAAAAAGGAAACTAAGAATAACAAACCGTGGTTTGATGAAGATTGCTTAAACATGTGCGAAAAAAGAAAAGCCGCTAAATTAAAAGCTCTAAATAATCCTAGCGAAGACAATCTGGAATACTTCCGAATCTCAAAGAACGAAACGACAAAATTGCTCAAAAATAAAAAAAGGGAGTATCTTAAAAATAAAATAATTGAAATAGAAACTAATAGAATCGAAAATAACGTAAGAGACATGTACAAAGGTATAAACAGATCACGTAAATATGTAGGGCCCGTAACGTCTGGAATTAGGGATGATAATAACAATATTCTGACCGATCCGGTTGACATATTGAATAAGTTTAAGGACCACTTTGACAATATTTTAAATACGGGAAATTATGATCTGTGTCCTCCTTCTGAGTACCAGAGTGCTGAACCGTTAATAGAAGGACCAAGTAAAGAGGAAGTTGAAGTAGCTATCGGAAAATTAAAATCATATAAAGCAGCGGGAATCGATAATATTCCTACTGAACTAATTAAGGCATGCGGGGAAGCTGGAGTTTCTAAAATACATCGGTTGGTTAAAAAGATCTGGGTGAACGAGAAATTACCTGAAGAATGGAAAGAATCTATTCTTATTCCGATTCACAAAAAGGGTCCGAGGACGGATTGTAATAACTATCGAGGAATTTCACTCCTTCCGGTATGTTATAAAATATTCACTTCAATCTTAACCAGTCGAATCACGGAATACGCCGAGGAAATTATCGGAGACTACCAATGCGGATTTAGACGGAATCGTTCGACAATTGATCAAATATTTTCTTTACGGCAAATATTAGAGAAAAAATTGGAGTATAACGGTATTGTTCACCAGCTGTATATAGATTTTAAAAAGGCTTACGATTCTATTGACCGCCAGAAACTGTATAATATTCTAATCGAGCAGGGGATTCCAAAAAAACTAGTAAATCTAGTCAGGATGTGCTTGACGGAGACACTCAATAAAGTTAGAATCGGTAATAATTTGTCCGAAAAATTTGAGGTTCGTTCGGGCTTAAAACAGGGGGATTCTCTTTCGCCTGTCCTGTTCAATTTGGCATTAGAACATGCCATTAGGGAGGTAATGCGAACCGAGAAAGGGTTGGATCTGGGCGGGACAACATCCCTGCTGGGCTATGCTGATGATCTGGTACTGTTAAGCGAAGACGTTGAAACTATAAAACTAAATACGACAACGTTAATGAAAGCCGGGAAAGAACTAGGACTCGAAATAAACGTGGATAAAACAAAATATATGGTTAGCTGCAAAAATGGCGATACTACTGGTGATATCGATATAGATGGTAATATGTTTGAACAGGTAGATAAATTTAGGTATCTAGGTTCAACGATAACTAGAAAAATCGAAATTGAAGAAGAGATTAAGGTTAGACTGAAGTCGGGAAATGCTTGTTATTTTTTCGTGACAAAACTACTTAGTTCGCGCCTCTTGTCCCGGAATTTAAAATTTTTTTTTTTTATTATTATTAAAACACTTTATTTAGAAATATTACAATTTGTCACAGATTACAATTTGTCACAGAATTTAAAAATTAGAATCTATAAAACAATTATCTTGCCTACAGTTCTTTATGGATGCGAAACTTGGCCGCTTACATTAAGGGATGAGCAGCGTCTTAAGGTTTTTGAAAATAAAGTATTGCGTAGAATATTCGGACCGAAGAAGGATGAGTTAACCGGAGAGTTCAGACGGCTACACAACGCCGAATTGCGTGAGCTGTATCCGGGTAATATAATTGATGTAATTTCATCGCGGCGAATCAAATGGGCTTGTAAAGTTGTTGGGCTTAGTAACGAGAGAATTCCTAAAAGGTTAATATTTGCTGTGCCGAATGGTAAGCGTCCGAGGGGTAGACCGAAGCGAAGGTGGGAAGATTGCATTAAAGCCGATCTGAAGGGACTGGGTTTGGACGGCGAACGGTGGAGGGAGGTGTGTAACAAGCGATTGGTGGTGTCGGCATCGAACCTTCGGGTTCGCTAAGCCTTATTATTATTATTATTACTTATTCTGATTTATGAAAAGGTGAGAAATAAAATATCTTGGGAGCTGGGGGGACGATGTGCACCCCTGGTGCTGACACAAAGGCCCCTTTCTTTTTTATCTCTCTCTTCATTTATTTTACTCACAACTATTTTGTTTTTATTTCTTTACTTTTCCAACCACTTGTTCGTTCATAACTCCATATAACAAAAGGTTATTTAAGTGGTTCTGGTAGGTTCACTCAATAAATACACCACTAACAATAGAAATATACAATTTAATTTTTGGGAAAAAATACAAAAGCTCTCAGTAATAATATATAGCAAAAATACAAAAGAAAAGTAACGTTATAAAAAAAAATTGAGAAATGTAGCTGCAGAAAAATTAATTAAGGAATAAAGAAACAATAAAGGTTAAGTTTTATAACCGAAAAATACAAAAATAAAATTGTCCTTGCCAATTAACAAAAAAAAACTTAAATGAGTTGCAACTCCAGCATAGATCAAACCAACTCCACTACAACTGCTGTGGTTTGCAACTCCACTACAACATTGTCTCGTGTAATAAAACAGGTTCTTAAGGAAGACTTCATTGTCTGTTTTGAATAATTCCATATAATTAGTGATATATGAGTTTTACTACACAACCCGGCAACTATTCATTATATGTAATTCAGATTAATTATAAATTTTAGTTTATAAAACAAGTATTAATATGACTAATTCCCGGGAAAGTATATGCAATTTAAATTACCTCTAAGAATCAATAAACCTTAAATAAAAAATTCAAGATATTTAACGAAGTATTATTTAATTAAGTTTTATTATTATAATTATATCATTTTTATAATACAGGCCTTCTTAAACGACCTCAGAATAAATAAAGTAATATTAAAAAAAAAAATAGTTGTTTAATTTTTTTGGACAGTTAAATTGTTGCATTAATATTTGTTCATTAATACAATCAATGTAATGTACTAAAAACGTTATTATAGCACTAGAACGATGCCATTTATGAGTACTGAATGATGTGGCAGAGGCCTGTAGGCACCTACGTCAGTCAAGTGCCTTTTCCCCCGATTAAGTGCATTTTATATGGAACCGCTTCAAATATTTTAAAAAGTAATCAGTGTTTTAGAAAGTGAAATATATATTCTCCAGATATTTTATTTCTAAACGTTTTCCGTTATTGTTAGCCGTTTAATTACAAATGACGCTTGAATTTTTTTTAAATTAAATTTACTGCTCTTTTTATATTGCCTGAGCCCATTATGTTTTAATATTTTTTCATGTTTTATTATTTTCTGACTATCCAGCTGGTTCTGCGGTTCACTGAGCAAACAAAAACTGTGGAGGTGTCGCTCCAATGCAGAGCTGCGCTAGATCTATAAGAGACCGAATTTGGTCTTAATCTGATGCGTAATTAAATGAGATAGTTCGGTATGGTGCATATGCCCAAAGACTAAATTCTCCAAACTCCGACTGAATGAAAAATCTGGTGAAAAATGTGACGGATAATACCCCTAAGACGACAGGGCGAGGTGGAAGACATCTTAAAAAGGATCGTATATAATAATAAGGATAATAGAGGAGAGCGGAAAAAGATTTTAAGAGAGGCCCAGGTTCTTACTGTATCGTAGGAAAAAAAAAATAAAGGAAGGATTAGACAGAAATTTCACCTTTCCAAGCGTGACCTCCAGGGCTCCAATACGTCCCTTGTCCATCTTTGCGTAATCCAACTCTCTCTAGCCCTAACAGGTGGTTGATCCGAGATTGGTTCTGGATGACTTTGTCTAATAGGGCCACGTCTATTGAATAATCTTTTCGGCCCTCTCAGAATTTTGCTTCCTGATTTTGGCTCGCAAAGTCTGAAACATAATAAATATAAAACAATATTTCAAAATATCTTTTAATTACATTTAATTTATTTCTAGACTATAATTATTAATGAAATGTATCGACAAAAGAAATATTATATTATCCTGTTATCGCAATTTATTTTGATTTTCTAACTGATTATTCATAAGAGCTCCGAAATCTATTTTAATTCCTTGTTTTTTATATTGTTCCCTACTGTGTATCGTGCATCGTTTACCGAGCTATACGATGTATTTTATTGACAGATGTGTTGACGGTTAGAAATAGAAATAGAAAATAACTTTATTCTGGGACAAAGTCCCTTTAGAATAACAAAATAGAACATAATTAAAATACTACATCTGGCCAAAATAAAAAATAATAAAAAAGAGAAAGTAAAGAAAATATTAGTTAAACAAGCTATATACAAAAAAAAAATCTATGTACAAAACACTTAAAACTATGATAAAACACTTAAGACTATGTATAGTAGGTAAAATTATAGTTATGCTCTTTTGAAAAATAAAATAATAAAAAATGCATTGAGTTCTTCTTTAAAGTGAGGTGTGTTTCTGCTAACAAAGAAAAGACAACTCTGACAATATAAAATATCAGTGTATTTAAATAATGATTAATATGTAGACTCATCATTGTCAAATGCTAGCCATAGGTACAGATTTAATTATATACCAATAAAAAATAATAAAAAAACAAACAATAGATGCGGTCAGCAGCATTAAGAGCAGGAGGATATTGTAATATCCCTAGTGAAGTTCACAGTATAGAATAGTACTATCGTTTGATGATGACTAGAAATGTATAATATCGAATGTTTAGCAAGTATCTGATTGTTTTTGGGATAGAAATTGGAATAGGAGGGATTTGAATGTGGATATGGAGGGGGGAATGCCGAATTTTGATAGTTAGAGAATTCCAGAAATTGACAGCGCGAGCTATAAAGGAATTCTGAAATGAGGCAGATCTATGAGAAGGGATGTAGAGGTCAGAAGGTCGAGATCTTGTTGAAAGGGAATGGACTTGAATTGGAGAAGGTTGTAGGCGTAAGAAGGACGATGGTTGTTAATTTGATAGAGGAACGTACCTAGGAAATATTGTCTTCTAAAAGAGAGGAAGAGCCACCTTAACTCAGTGTAGTGGTGAGAGACATGGGAGTACCTCGGGGCACCAATAACAAATCTTACGCAGCTATTCATTAATCTTTTCAGTCTATCACGGAGCTCCACCGAGAGGCCTTCATACACCACACAGCTGTAGTCAAAGTGGAGGAAGATAAGAGAGGAAATTAGGAGTCTACGGGTATGTTGAGGTAGGAGATGGCGGAAGCGATAAAATAGTTTAAGGATAGAAATTGTCCTACGGGAAATGTGAGAAATATGGTAGTTCCAGGAGAGGTTTTGATCTATGAAAAATCCTAAATTTTTAACAAAAGAGTAGAAAGAAATTGGCTGGTCATTAAGGTGTAATATGGGAAAGTCAGTATGGGATGTAATAAGGGGCTTGGAACCAATGTCAATGACCTGAGTTTTGGCAGCATTTAACTTTAATCCATTTACATTTGACCAGGCACTGATTCGATCAAGGTCTTCTTGAATCTTGGCAAATGCTACCAATAACTCAGAGGGAGAAAAGGATAGGTAAATCTGGGAATCGTCTGCATAAAGGTGGTGGAAAAGGTCGCTAATGTAAGAGCTGAAAAGGAGAGGAGATATGCTTGAACCCTGGGCAACTCCGGAGGATAAAGGAAGGTAGGCAGATAGTGGTTGATTGGGTATGGAGACTGCTTGGGTGCGTTGGGAGAGGAAAGATTGGAACCAAGAGATGAAACTATTGGAGAAAGATGATGATTTTAGTTTGTTGAAGAGGATGGAATGGTTGATGGAATCGAAGACTTTGGAGAAGTCGAGAAGTATAAGGACTGTTAATTTTCTATCATCTATTGCAGATTGAATGTCGTTGGTAATTTTAATTAAGGCCGATTGTGTGGAATAGCCGGGACGGAAACCATATTGGAGAGGATCAAATTGGTTGGACTTTTCGAGGAACTTGGAGACTTGGGATTGCACTGTAATATGTATAAATAATTAATAAAAATACCTTTAGAACAAAGGTAGGTGTGCTTTATTATTTATTACAAAATATACCATCTGTCTTGCCTTTATCTAACTAACATGTGTAATCGATTATATTATAAATTATAAATAGAGGTTACAGTCTTATACTACACCCTTCCCTTAATCCTCACAAAGTCTTTTTGGTGGCTTCACCAGGCGGCCCGATCTGGTGCGCATACCTTCACTAGTTGGAGATGCTTGCTGAGCTTGATCATTGGAAATTGACAGTCCTGGTAACAGCAGGGAAGAACCATTCTGCGGGTGACGCGGAGACTGTCTCTGTTCCTCCTGAAATAAAGCATTAGAGGGTTGGAGTAGAGGATCAGAATCAGAATCAGTTGGGTTGAGTAGAGGATCAGTGTTAGGTGTGGTGAGGCGTCTTAAGTGGGATGAGTTTCTTCTATATTCGTTGTCATATTGGTCTCTGACCAAGTATGATCTTGGTTCAGGGAGAACCTTTGTAATAGATCCTTCTTTCCATCGATCCTTCCATTTAACATAAACTGGTTGTCCCATCTTGAACTCCTCTGATTGACGTGAAGTTGAGTCATAATATTTTTTACTTTTGAATTTTAGAAGCTCCATTCTTTGGCGCACATCATCGTCTGGTATTTTGGGAATAAGAAGATCAATGCTTGCTGGCGCCCTGGTTCGCAGTCTTCGACCCATCAACAGTTGGCTTGGAGAATACTCGAGCCCAGAAAGGGGAGTTGTTCGGTATTCTAGAATGGCTTCATAAATGTCTCCTCCTGAATAAGAGACTTTCTTTATCATTTTCTTCGCGACACCTATCCCTTTCTCCGAGAGACCATTAGATCTAGGGTAGTGAGGACTAGATGTACAAATTTTAAATCCCCAATGTTTGGCAAAAGCTGCCATTTCTGCACTACTGAACGGGTTGTTATCACAACGTACAATTTCAGGCGTGCCATGATTACTAAAAAGAATTTTTAGTTTTTTGATAATTTCAGTGGATGTTTTATTCTTGAGCGGTATAATATCCAACCATCTTGAGTAGTAATCTTCTACAGCCAGAAAAATTTTCGAATTACACTCGCCTATGTCCATACCAATAACTTGAAACGGAAATTTAGGAATTTCATATGTTATAAGAGGTTCTTTAGGTTTATTGTTTTGGAAGGTTTGACACGTGGAACAAGAATTTATGAAGTTTGTAATGTATTCGGACATGTTTGGCCAATACATAAGGCTCTTAATACGGGAAACGGTTTTGTTTATTCCAAGATGAGCTTTAGAATGAATTTGGCTTACGAAGTGACGTCGGAGACTCGGTGGTATAATAATTCTATCATTATAAAATAAAATTCCTTTATTTTCTGAAAGTTCGTCTCGGAGCCCATAAAAAACCTTTATTTCACGTTCCAAACACTTTTTATGAACTCCTTCCCAAGCATTCCTGATACAATTTCTAAGTTCACTGAAATCATCCCTGGTGGCTTCTTGCAAGATTTTTATATCCTCTGATGGCACCGGCAACAATTCTTCTAGCGTAATGGCATGAACCACCTGAGAAAAGTCTACGTCTTCCGGTCCCTCTTCTTCAAGAAAGGCTCTTGATAGCATGTCCGCTATATACATTTTTGAGCTTGGTATATAGGATAATAAAAATTTATATTTTAATAGCTTCAGTTGCATTCTTTGGAGTCTTGAAGAATTTTTATACAGCTCCTTATTGAGCACTGCTAACAACGGTTTATGATCCGTGAAAATCTCAACATTATTATGACCGTAAATAAAGTGGTGAAATCTATTGACCGAGAAGCATAAGCTAAGCATCTCCTTCTCTATCTGACTGTAATTCTTTTCTGAGTCATTAAGACTTCTTGAGGCAAATACGACTGGTTGCCCGTTTTGGAGTAAACAGCTCCCAAGCCCATCCTTACTGGCATCACATTGGATCTCAATTTTAAGTGACGGATCAAACAGTTTGAGAGTGGGCGCATTACAAACTAAAGATTTTATAATAGAGAAAGCTTGCTTCTGTGAATCAGACCATTGCCACTGAGCACTCTTTTTCAATAATTCCCTAAGAGGGGCGGTGACTTGTGAATAGGCTGGAATAAATTTGTTCAAAAAATTTATTGCACCTAAAAATCTTTGAATTTCCTTCGGAGACTGAGGTTCTTTAATATTAGAAATGGCTCTTACCTTGAGAGGATCCGGTTTGATTCCATCTGCTCCAAATACTAGTCCCAAATATTTAACTTCATTTAATTTAAACTGGAGTTTCTTGCTATTAAATTTAATGTTGGACTGTCTGGCCCTTTTTATAACCTCTTCCAAACTTTTAGCATGTTCAATTTCTGTTCGGCCCGAAACTATTATGTCATCGAACATTATTTGCACTCCCTCTATGTCTCCAAATATTTTAGTATTTTCCCTTTGAAATATCTCCGGAATATTAGACAAACCGTAGGGCACTCTTAGAAATCGATATCGACCAAATGGGGTATTCATAGTGCATAAACGACTCGAATTCTCATCTAGAGGAAACTGATGGAACCCTTCCTTCATATCGAGCACAGTAAACCATTTTTTCCCACTAAGGTTAGCAGTTAGTTCTTCTTGAGTAGGGATGCTATAATGTTCCCTTTTTATGTATTTATTCAATGGAATGGGATTCAAACACAGCCGAATAGATCCATCTTTCTTTTCAACTACCACTATGTCATGAACCCAATCTGTAGGCTCTTCTACTGGTGTTATTACTCCTAAGTCCACTAACCTATTGATTTCTTTTTTAAGTTTAGATTTGAGAGAGGCTGGAAGTCTCCTCGCTGGCCTCACAGTAGGTACCGCATCATTGCTAAGCGTAATCTTAACTTCATAGGGAATTTTACCCAGACCAGTAAAAACATCCTTGTTATTTTGAATAAATTCTGGTTTTCCATCTTCTAAATTTTTAATAGTCAAATCATCAACTTTAGATAAAGTATAAGCTCGTTTAATTAGCCCCAATTTTTCACACGTTACTGCACCAAGTATAGGAGATGAGTCACAATTCATTACTACAAATTCAATGTCACAATTCTTCTTTTTATAATTAGCCTCTAAAATAGTTTTCCCCAAAGGTTTAGA